TCCTGCTGATGGTATTCCAGAATCAGCAGTGTGAATGTATTTATTTTGTTGGAGTAACAGCATGGGTTTTAATGGGAATAGCTGGAATATGCTTGTAAGGGAATAGCTTACAGACTCCTGTGAAAAAAAAAAACATTTACTCTTGCCTAGCATCAACATTTCCTTTTGGTCAAAGTTTCCTGCCTTTATGGACACTCCAGATCCCAAGGCAAGAAGTATAATTTGCTCTACTTTGCAGATCAACTGATTGCATTTTGAACTAAGAATATTTATTCTTAATTCCATTTATCCACCCGGATAGTGTTGACTCAAGTCTTTAGGCAATGTTATCAGAAAGCCTTTATTAGCTCAAGGCAAGCTACACCCCAAAACTGCCAGAGCACAGCTGGTTCATGCAATGATAAGGCTTTGAAATGAAGGTCAGAACCCAGAGCACAGCACCAGCAGCTCAGGCATTGCAGCTTGGCCCCCTCTCAAGTGCAGTTTTGCCTCCTTCCCAGCCAGACTTTATCTTTCCCTGCCCCAGGATTGCAAACACCAGGTACCATTGATGCAGGGCTCTGAACACCAAAGCTACACGACTGCATTGCCAGCACATGGAAAACTGGTGTTGCAGTGAGGAAGCGTAAGAGGTCCAGTGTTAGCACAGCAGCAGACTAGGTTAGAAAGTCTGGATACACTCTCCAGTTTCCATTGTTTGTGACTTCAGGCTCCTCTTAAGCTGATATTCCTATATAGATCTCAGCAGTGATGGGTTGGATTTGCATCTCCTCTCCATCGTGAAAGAGCTTCCATCAGCTCCTCAGGCTAATGTGAAATTAAGTTGTACAGTGATTGAAGTGAAGTAACGCAGGACTTGCAGCAGCGTGAGAGGAAAGGCAAGACCATTATGTCCTACTAAAAGGCTTGATTACTGAAAAAAAGGGGCTAAATTCTATTCAGCCTACCTCAGAGTGATCTGGGATTTATGTGAGAGTAAACAGTAGCAGAAGCTGCCCACTGAGTGCCAGCTTAGCTATGGCACATGTTCCTGGGAAGTAGGACTGGCACTAGGAGCAGTCAGGGCATGCCAGTAAACATCACAGAGGAGCAAATGCTCCTTGCTGTACGTGATATGAAGTCAGCATGAATGACATACCTAAGCTCTGATACAATACACTGAAAAATTAATCCCCAGAAAAATTAATCCCCTGTGTCCTCTCTTCCTGTCTGAATGGATGCAGAGAAAATACCTTGTGTACACTGTTAAATCTGAGGCAGGTGTCAACACAGCAGAGAATATTTGTTCTCTTCATGGATTTAAACAGGCTCTTTCTGGGTTGTTTTTTTCAACTATGAACATGAAGTCAGTGGAATATCTTAAGGAAACACATTCAGTTCCTCTGCAGCTCCTGCCTGCTCCTTGGTGATGCTTATCTCACTAGCTCTGGAGTTTATTGCCTGCAGGAAGGTGGTAAACACCAAAAAGGCTGAGTAAGGTTGTGATTAATTACTGAGTGTATATCTTGTCCCAGAGGTATGATTGGATTGTGTACACAGGAAATTTCATTTAAAAGGAACATGTTTCAGTTAATTGGCTGTGAATTCATAGCCCATTTTAAACAATACACACTTAAAATGGGTATTTAAAACCCTTGTACAAACTGGGTTTATGCTGTCCTTGAAAAGCTCATGTTTGTGCCTTTCTAAAAGCTGAAATTAAAATCTTTGCCAAAATGTTTCTGTACCATTTCAAAAGTAACAAATCTTGTTTTGTGTTGAAGATAGAGAAGATTTTTTATTTTGGGGCAACTGATAGCTGATGTTGCCTCCCACAGACACACATCTAATTGACATTTCATTCCAGCTTACGTAATATGTCCCTAAAATGTCTCTATGGGAAAATTGTAAAATTAGTCAATGGTAGACTTCTCCTGGAAGCCTTTAATTTGATATGATAAATATATTTAAAGTTCAGCATCCTGAATGTAAAAAAAATACGAATGAAATCTGCTCTGCCTCTCTTGAAAAAATAAGCTTTTTATGTCCTCAGGCAGATCATGAGCAGCTCTAGTGAAGTCGATGATTTACCAGTGTAAAAAAATATGGAAAATGCAGAAATGGTTTCTGCATCTCCTTACCAGCTACTTTGCTCAGGCAAGTTGTTATATAATGGTGTCTTTTCACATTTCATGGGAACAGCTGCCTGGGATGACTAATCAACTGACAGAAAAAGAGTGGAGATTATCACTCCAAGAAAGTGTTGTCCCTAATAACTCCACAGTCTGAAAAACCCGTTTTTGCAAAAGAGCAAAGTTGCCCAGAAAAAGTTCCCCTGACCTTAGAAAGGATTGAGTTCAGTTGGTTATTCAGCCTGGGGCCTGGTAGCCCCTAAGGCAACTAATGCCTTCTGTAGTTACTCTGCATTTCCCCAGTCACAGTTTCTGCTGCAGCAGAGAATGGGATTTGGGCTCACAGACTTCCAGGGCAGCTGAGCCAATTACCTGTGTGCTTGTTTGGGAGAGCTGGGTTCCAAACAGAATAGAGAATTGGGAGTGATCATACTTGTTTGCAAGAAAAATCTTGGTAATCTCAATAAACTCTAGGTGCTGGGGACAAGGTTATTTGTGTGCTCAGTTCTGAAGGATCTGGCACATGAAAGCCCATGTCCTTTTCTCCTTTAGCCTGACTTGTGGGAAGGCTGCTCATCTTCTAGTGTGATGGTGAAGAAAGTATTTGCCTGCAGAGGAAGCAGTTGGCAAAGCTGATGCTGAGTTGAGGATTTTCAAAGGCTGCCAGATGTTTGGCAGAGAGTGAGGAACCCACCTACAGGTTTTCTTTACACAACTTCTATAGAAAGATCTTCCTTAGGGGGTGGAGGTTGTGTGTGAAAAAGCAGACAGTAAATTAGAAGAAACGTGCCTCCATCTGCTTCCTTTCTTCTTGGGGCAGGACAAATACATAGTAGAACTTGCATAAATTCATGTCTTTCAAATGTCTTCGGATGGGCTCATTCATCATCTCAAGGTCAATATTCCTCCTGCCCTCCCTCTCCTGGTGTCATTGCATCACATTGCTGTATGTGCCTAGTACTTAGGGATATCAGAACTGTCAGATGAGATCTACCTGAAGATCTGTTACAGAATGTCCCACTTAATCTCCACAGAAGTCTTAATTTCCCAAATAGGGGGCAGTTCCTGGCCATGACTTCCTTTCCAGGACCTGACTTCCCTCCTCCAGCCTCTTCTCCCTTTCACCAGCAGACACAAAGCTAGAGCATCCTGGCTGATGCTGTTTCTCTAGGCTCATGTATTCAATATCTAATTCACAGTCTTTGCCTGGAGAGTGTAAAGCTCAGGCTTCCAGAGGGCCCCATCACTGGGTTGTTTTATCATTCTCTGACATTTTCTCAAGCTTGTAAAAAAAGAACCATTAAAGGCTTCTTCTCACCAATGAATGCAAAGGAGGATATTAACAACTCTACTGGTTTGAGATCATGATCTCTTTCTGAATTCTGAGTAAAGACAGAATTGATAAAATAACAAGAGGAAAAAAATCTTCATCACTCCCTTACCATCTAATTAGAGAACAAATGCCACACACTGGAAGTGTTAATTAAAGCCCAAGGCTCAGATTTGGAACTCTGGCTAGATGAGAAAGCAAACGCTCCCACATGC